ACACACACACACACACACTCAGGGTAACATTCACAATAACCGACAAACTAGACTACAGGAGGCAGGAACTAATATAGGGTGGATAACGAGGGGCAGACAGGTGAGCACAATCAAGGTAATTAACTAATAATGAGGACAGGAACAACCAAATAAGGACACAGGGGTGTTACAATGCCATTATAACCGTCACACACCAAACAAGATTTTTAGAAAAATAAATCTGTAGGTCCATTCAATGCATGTGTAGTTGACCAATAGGCCTACTTCAGTTTTCCATAAAGCACATAAGGCCAGTATTAAAGCAATGATACCATGTCGATACCATGTGTCTTCTGAGGTGGTTTAATTGGTTTGATCTAATTACGATTTCAAATTTCAAGATAATCAAAATGTAAAGCTGCTATTTTGAACTTCCCATTCATCAAAATGAATAAATAAATAAATAAATAAAAATCCTGAAAAAAGTACCACTGTTTCCACAAATATATGAAGCAGCACAACTGTTTTCAACATAATAATGACAATAGTAAAAAAAAATGTATGAGAAGCTAATCAGAATATTAGAATGATTTCGGAAGGATCCCGTGACAGTGAAGACTGAAGTAATGCTGAAAATGCAGCTTTGCATCACAGGAATCAATTACATAATAGTTTAATATTATACAATATTACTATTTCTACTGTGTTTTGATCATAAATACAGCCTTGGTGGGCATGGGCATAAGCCTTGGTGAGCTTCTTTCAAATCCATTAAAAAATGTACAGTAGTGCAGTCATGCTCAACTCAAACCATTTATTGTAACATACAGACTTTAACATTTTTGTAAATGTTTTATTTTTACAGTAGATGCACTCTCTTAGGTTTTTTTTTTTTTTTCCATTGACAAAAATAAAATTTGTTGGTCTAACATCTATTTGCATACTGAATTGTGATTTATCTTTTCTTGCAATCATTTAACCAAATAATGACTTTAGGAGACATTGCATTCAAAAACAGCTTGATGCACCACAGACACATTTGTAAAAGTTAAACTTTTTTTGACTTGACATGCAGAACAAAAGCCTAAAACCTAAATCTTTAAAGGGGTCATATGATGTTGCTAAAAAGAACATTATTTTGTGTATTTGGTGTAATGAAATGTGTTTATGCGGTTTAAGGT